AATCCTTAATCCTTTCCGCACTCTGCCTTTATTAAATTTTAATTAGTATCCAATTTGAAAAAGACAAAAACAAATACAAACAGCCGGCGGGGTGTTGGCCAAATGGAATTTGCATTAATATTAGAGCGGACCGGACGAGTCATAAACAATTCAGAGAGACACATAAATTAATGGAAAGCAACAGCATTGGGCAGGCACGTGTCCTGGCAGGTGTCCCGGCCCCGTAATTGGCTCCGAAATCCATGGCTGAATACAAATACTCGAGTGGTCGAGCTCCTACCCGACTAACCGACTAACCGACTAACCGACTAACGACCTTGTTAATTTGCAGAGCAGACAAACGGCTTAAGCCGGGATTGGATTGAAACGAAGTGAATGTCACTTTCTGCACAGACTGCTCTGTGGGTTTCCGTCAATGGCTTAACCACAGAGTCACCGCAACCACCGACCGAGCAACCACTCAATCAGTGATGGAAGCTGGCTGTCAGCTGCAGCCAAACCGCATATGAAAAGTCGATTCAAGAACTGCAATTTCACATACTTTTGCTCTGGAATTTCCTGCAATAAATTGCTAAATTCCCATCGTTGCTAATTGCCGTCCAACAGTGTGGGGGAACCGATGGATGGATGAGCCCACACGGATGACAAACCCTTGTCGAAAGCTCACCAATTTAACACGATTTATTCATATTTTTCCACAAGAGTGGAGATAGAGAAATTTATGCCGAAAGTTGGAGCCTTGCAACGTGTAGAAACAGTACCAATTCCCAAAGTTGTAATTAATTTTCAGCAGCCCCGCTCCTAGTGACGGTTCCTAGTCCTCCAGGGCCCTCGCCCCGGGCTGCATATGCAAAACTTTTCCTGGCGTTGGGGCCTGGCCGGGCTTTTGTGCCTGATAAATTGAATCAAGTTGGCAGCGCGTCTCGCAGGGAAACGGCAATTAATAAAATCTGCAATGGAAATGCGGTCGCCCTCGCACTTTCCCCTCTCGCACTTTGGTGTACTGAAAAATGTCGCAATAGTGTTTATGGCGTCACTCCCATATTTTCCCCCTAAAAGTTATCTCCCTCTGTGGAGTGCTTCTGATGGGCAGCTCTCGTGCAGCTTGACCGAAAGTTTCCAGTTGCCGGAGCGAGATGTGAGCCTGCCATTTGAGAGTGCAGTTGAGCTCTTAAGCTGCCAGCTGCCGACTGTCGACTGCCAACTGCCGACTGCCAAGTGTAGTTAAAGCCAAACGAAAAGTGTCAGAAGCAGACGCAGGACGCGTACCCGTAAACTGAAACAGGAGACGAGCTCCAGCCCAACCCGGAGATGGGGACAAAGCTTTTAGCCAGAAAATTGATTGCTAGGTATTAGTACGTACAGAAGTTGTGAGCTCTAATTGAAAATGAATTGCTTTTTGGGCAAGGAGCTGCCCGAGACTTCTCCTCTGTGTGCAGTTTTCCCATTAGGTAGTTTCCGCTTATTCACGTAACTTTTCTCGCACTCGCATCGCCGTTTATTCCCTGCCCTGCCTGTTGATTTCTGAGAGATTTTCAGCGGAAAGACGTCCGGGGATTCGAGGCGCTTAGGTGCGAAGAGTTGCCAAAGAAAGTCATCTTTTGGCGCTTTCCGCATGTGTCCCGGGGGGGTTTTCTTTGAGCTGCTGCTAAGCCTCCATCACACCACCAACTGCTCATCGTTTTCCCGGACTTTAGTCAAAGAGAAACCACGGAATTGTTCATCAAATAGTTGCGAAAATCTTGAAAAGTACTTCAATCCAGGGAAAGTATTTTGACCACCTTTGAATCAGTTGCTAAGAACAGGCTTAAGTGCCTTTCGGCATTGGGCATATTAAATATTTGAAGCCCCCAACTTTGATGGCTGGCATTCGATTAGTCAGTCGTCTGGTGGTCTGGTTCCATTCGACGACCCGACAGAACTCTCCACTCCACCAGCATTTTCCGTCCCCACGATTGGGTCAAGAACCTCGGCCTGGGGCCCGAAGCAACAGAGCACAAATTACAGGCCTGGCCTGAAACCGCCAAAAGGTAAAAGCCAAGAAGGCCAAGAAAGCCAGTTAACACCCACACCCACGCCCCCACACACACACAGCCACAAAAACGGAGAAAGTGAAGGTGCGATGCGTCATTTCCGTTGTTTTTGGGACTCCTCGTGTTTGATGGGGATTTCGTGTGAGGCAAAGCTCGGAACAGTTCGCGGAACAATAGAGTGGTCCTTGCGCTGGGGTGAATTATGTTCACATGTGGCAAACCATCCAGTGACTTATCACTCCGCTTTACCACGACAGAGCCAGAGCTCCAGAAGCCATCGATTTTATACCCCCCGCCACCATCGTAATGACATTCCATGGGACACCAGCAGACATGAAAACAATACCAAATATTGTTTATACATATATGTATTTCTAGTTCTCTCTGTCTGTCTCTCGGCCCGTGTCCTGTGTATCCCCTTCTGAGGGCTTGTTGTGACAGTTGCCCCTGGTTACACAGGACACAAACAACCGTGTGCGGCGAGGGGTCTCGTTTTGTTTTCGGGAGTAGTCCCGGCCAAAGGCTTTATTAATCCTTTGTGTATATTTAGCCACCGCTTAAAGCAGTTGAGTGCCACACATACATACATACATACCCGTGCATCTTCGTGTTGATTTACGAGTATACCATCGCATTCCAAGTGCAAAGTGGCTCCACTCTGTGCGTTTTCCACTTTTTATTACACCTATAAATTTGGGGGTTTACTTTAGCTCTAGCATGCATAAAATATGCTTAATATTAAGGCGTGTGAATTATTAGAAGTGTGAAAGCAGATCTGTATTCGTACACAGCCCTGTAATAGAGTTTTGTTATACCCGATACTAGATTTGTGGTGAAAATGGATGTGTGTGTAACGTCCTGAATGAATCGTTTCCGACCACATAAAGTATATATATTCTTGGTCAGCATCAATAGCCGTGTCGATTGAGCCTTGTCTGTCTGTCCCTATGAGCCCTTCAAAGACTATAAGAGCTAGAGCAACGACATTTTTGATTTTTATTGAATAATTATTATTATAATTATTATTCCTGATTTTTATTGAAAAATTATTATTTTTGAATTTTATTGAAATACCATTAATTTTGGATCAAAACATTTATTATATAATTATTATTTTTGATTTTTATTGAATAGTTTTGAATTTTATTGAATAATTATTATTTTAGCTTCTTAGTGTATGTATGCATAAGTATATCTCCAGACTGCATAATCTGAACCAGATCGTGTAATTATTATAGCCTGAATCAAGAATACAATTTCCTTCTCTCTCGCTCTGTTTATTTCAAAATTTCACCACACCCCTCTCCGCCGCCGCAAAGGACGAAAATCGTTACATCCCCAGATCTCAGAGACTAATAAGGCAAGAGTAACCAAACCACTAAGTATCGGGTATAAATGTAGAGTTGCGGTCTCCGCAGCAACTCACAACGTTCCCCCTCGTTTTTAAATCTGCTTTAGCTTCCCCATCAAGTTTTCCTTTTCGATCATTATCTCCTTCCCTTTCTCTGTTTTTTGATATCTTAATATCCAAAAAGAAGAATCGAACATTTGCTCCGCGTAATTTCATTTGGAGCTGAAATTGCTTGTAATTGTTGTACGAGTATGTCTTCGTGATGTCATTCCATTAAGCAGCCGTGAACAGCTGATACATATTTTATAAGCAATCTCAGCCCCCAAGTGGAAAATCGAACCAACCAAACACTTGGCAACGATTCGATTTATGTCTGTGTGGGGGCGGGCGTGCTTGCTGGTGTTCTAGGCGCTTCTTTGCGGAGCTCTTGCCTCTCCAGCGCCTTGCCACCCAACATAATTAGGGCCAATGACAGTCGTCGTATTGAGCTGCAGCAAATGCAGCAATACCCAGAAAGGACGGCACTCGGGTGGCCTGGCGGTGGAGCGAGCCGCTCAAAGGCTTTACTCGTAGAGGTTTCGGTGAGTTTCGATTTATTTGGACGCCGTTGCCCAGGCAACAGACGGGCCAGGTGGCCAGGCAGCACACGTCACAACAAAACACCTCGACAATGGCCATTGAAGCACTCGGGGCCTTAAATGGCCAGAGTTGTGGACGAAAAGTGGACAATGCCTGGGATGTGATGAGTGGGCGGTCTTTGGGCTTCCAAAATGTATCAATGAAAATTCCAACTTTCCCAACCAATTGATGATTCACTCTGAAGAGCGAGGATGTTGAGAAAAGGGTTGTTTGAAGAGGATTTTTAGTTGGTCCATCGTTCTAGGGAACACGGTATTTACACCGTAATAGAAATGCGCCCTATACTCTTCGAGTACCGCTTCACCCAGGGTAACACATCTATACTAGATACATATGTACATTTTATCGGATTATGTATCGGATTAAGCTCGACCTAAGCAGGAAGTCAAATCGACGGAGGCCCTTCTTTCAGCAGTTGATAAGCTTCTGATTGAGTACGTAACAACATGTACATATGTATGTACATATAAGAACGTTTTTAGAAAAGGTCCGTCGATGCGTATTCCGCCTATTATGCCTGATCGGGAGCAAAGCCAGGGTACTTTTCCTGTCCTGTGCGATTCAGAGCTGGCCGGCATGGGCTTATTCAGAGGCGTCAGGATGGTCTGACCAGCTGGACCGGTTGCATGCTATAACATCGTTGCAACCCTTCGAGCTGTATATAGAGCGCTTCAAGGGCGATAAGAAATTTGCAAAATAAGATGAAATAAATCTGAGCGGCTGAGCATTGGCGGCTACCACAAGGGAAAAAGTTTTCCACTTTCGATCGGGATAATAGTAAACACCTGGCTGGTTGGTGGTTCTTGCATGGAGAGGCAAGTAGAAGAGTGCATCCAAATAGATCTGAAAAGTATCTATGTATGAACCATATACTTCGTACTTGGACTTTGTACAGAAGGGGATATAACGGCAGCCTTTTCACTTGCAATTATTACTTGATAAATATAGGAAAATTCCATGATTCTCGGCACACCAACCTGTTGTTCCATTTTCTGATTGCGACTGCTAATTGCGGACATCTTGCAGCTTTGCTTTTTCTGGATCTACAGTAACACGCTTCCTTCCTTTCTCCACTTTTGTGTTGGTTATCACTTAGCGACGAGATATATATCGCGATATGTGTGTGTATTCCTGTGTGAACGAATGTAGCAAAACAAAAACCGAAACGGGGGTCGACGGCGAAGGGGATTGCATCTGGCAGAGTGCCGCCAGAGCATGCAAAAACGTGAAAAGAATCAGGCGCTCACCCAGACCCGCACACCTGGTTCGCCTTGTAGCTGTAGTTTCAGTTGTAGTTGGAGTGTGGTTCTCCCGGCGACGGCACACGCGACAAAAAACACAACCCCGAAGCGTGCAGACCAGCTGTTCTTGCACTTCTCTCTCTCTCGCTCTTGTCACGATCAATTTATGTTCTTCTCTTCGTGTTGCTTCCGCCTTCGTTTGCTTTCGATTTCTAATACACGTTTGATGCTAATGCTCAATTTTGTTATCGCACCTTCGCGTTCTGTGCACTTTTCGCGTGTTGCCAATTTTCCGTGTGAGAGTGTGATGTGTGTCGTCTGCATTGAAACGTAAAATTTTGGCGCCTCTTTTGGTAGTGCCCGGGCGAAGAAGTATACCGTGCCGTTGTTGATTTCGGAATGACGACGATTTCAACAGCCAAAACGCTAACAAATGGAAACGAAAGTAAGCCCGAACCAGAAGCCAAACGACGAGCGCTGTCGCTGTGGTTTCTGTTGTTCTGTCGTTTGCGAGAGCGAGGACGAAACGAAACGGCTCTCTGCTCAACGTTTCCTGTGCTGCTTTCTCACCCTCATGGTTCTGTGTTGTTGGATTCGCCAAGGCAAAATATCTAGAAGGTAAGCCAGCTCGTGGAGAGCGCTCAATCATGAATGTTTTAGTACACAATAATTTATATAATTATTTATGTTAGAATATGTTTTTTTAGTTAATGTGTGTGTGTCTGTGATGTCGGAGCAAAAAGAAAACTAGAATGCTAGACTGCTATACCTCATATTTTATATACCTTGACATTCTCTTCATGTCTGGTTCTCTTCGCTCTCTGTCTGGCACCTTTGCTATCCTTCCCTCCTCTCCTCTCCTTCCTCTTTCAACCATGCCATGCCCGACAGATGTGCAGCTGGCGAGTGAGTGCAGGAGGCTCTTCTTGCACTTGGATTTATGCTGTCTCTGTCTGCTCGCAGGCATTGCATTTGGATTATCAGACACACAAACACATGTAAGTCGACATGCAGGAGGAGGGAGAAGGCAAGATCAGCCATCTCTCCAACAGTTGCGACGACTTCTAATCGCAGTTGGCATTTAAGCTGCTTTTACACGATAGGTTTTCCACCGCGCAAGCAGTATACAAAAATGAACCAAACGAAAGTGGGAATGTTTTTTGCAACCCCAAAACCCGAATCGAATGGATTTAGGAGGGGGCTCAACTTTTGCTGATGCGAAAATGGCAAATATGAAATATTTGTCTATAATCTTTAATCTTTAACTTTAAGCTTATCCTAGAATGATGGGAAGTACAATTAAATAACAAATTCATTAAAATGTGTATGTAATGTGATGTATAACTGCTCTCACAGAACAGCATACGTGTTATTTCGACTCAAATTTTCCTTGTCATTTATGAGGTTTTCTAGTATTAGAAAACGTGGGATCACGGTTCCGGCGACTCTCACGATCTCAGAGCTTTTAGAAATAGTTCTAGAAGAACCTGTGCTTCTTCTTCTTCTTTTCCCCCTCCGCTGGCGGCTGGGGATCCACAGACACCTGACGCTTGGGCATCAGAGGCGGAGGCACATCCGCAGCCTGGTTTCCATTCGTATCCATTGGCGACAGTGGGCGCGGTGCCCGCAGGATGGACGTCAGGGGAGGAGGACTGGCTCCAGAGCCATTCATAGCTGGGTGGGTCAACGACTGCTCTTGGCCATCCTCCTCGATGCGGTCCAGTCGCGAGCCGTGCACCGATGCCAGCTCCGAGGGGGTCTTCAGCTGACTGCCGCCCTCGTCACCGAACTCGCTGGCCATGCCCATGCCGATGGTGGCCCCCACCTTGGCGCTGGCCCGTTTGAAGTGATCGCTGAGCTTGATCTGCACCACGTTGATGAACATGGAGGTGAGGGCCAAGCCGAAGATCAGGTATATCATGCTGACCATCACATAGAAGGGATTGCTGGGCACCAGGTCGCCAAAGCCGATGGTGGACATTGAGATGAAGACGTAGTAGAAAGAGTCCAGCAATTCCCAGTCGGACTCCAGCATCACGTAGCCGGCAGTGCCCAGCAGGATGTAGGAGATGAGCAGCAGGGAGGCCACCGAAACGGGCAGATTGAACTCATCGTCCACTTCATAGGTCTCCGGGTACGGCGATGTGGGTGTCTCCGGGTGCGATGTGCCCAAAGACCTGCCCGCCTCGGCATCCGCCTGTGACTCGGCCTCTTCCTCCGCCGACTTGCCGAAGAACATGCTAGGCCGCCGCATGGCCATGTCGTAGACCGTATTGAAGCCGGTCATCGCGTCACGGATCTGCTGCTGTTTCCGGATGCGGCGGCAGGAGCGAGTGTAGTACACCCGGCGCACATAGGCCCACAGGAACTTGACGCAGCGCGTGAAGAGCTTGCCCAGATCGGCCAACACGATCAGGAACATGGGAATGCCGATGATCGCATAGATGATAGTCAGGGACCGTCCCAGCTTTGTCTTGGGTGTTATGTGGCCGTAACCTGCGGAAGAGCGAAAGAAGAACATTAGTTGTATAATCTCAGATGCATATCTGGGTAGACTACTATATGTAGATACTAGAATTCTCTATGGAGCTATGGTATTAAAGGATTGCAAGGAAGGGATCGCGATATTCCCCCGCATCCGAGGACCCCCGTTACCTATGGTCGTGATTACGGTCCAACAGAAGATAAAGCAATTGACAAAGTTCCAGGACTTCTGGCCCGGATACCGACGCAGTCCCATCTCGGCCAGCGTATTCAGCTCATCCTCGAATTTTCGCAGCTTCTGACGGGCCATAGACTTCCAGTCATCCTCTCTGGCAAATATAAAGCAAAAGGGTTCACCACTGGACCACTGGAGGAATAGGGTAGGATCCGTGGTTTCAGTACCTCATGTTGTGGCTGACGGTCCACAGGTTGTCGATGAAATCGCGCTTGACCTTGCGCACCTCGCACTTGTAGATGTTCTCGGAGGCCCCCTCCGTGTAGCGGAACATAAGGCCACCGAAGCCCAGCAGGAGGGCCAGGCAAATGCAGTGCGAGATGCAGGTGTTTCGCAGGCATCGCAGCTCCTCCATGCGCCGCGGGTAGTCCATCTTGAGGCGTCGCCACTCGTGCCGTGCCTCCAGCCAGAAGTGGGACACAAATGGACGGGAAATGATATTGTCGGGCAGCGGTTCTGTAGCCAAATCTTTCACGACAATGCTTTCCACTTTGTCCACCTTCTGCTTTCGCTTGAACAGATTGCGCAGGCGTTGCAGGAACGTCGCTTTGGGTTCCACTTTCGAAATGGTGTCTTCGGTTGTGGACAATTCTGGTTCAGGTTCTGCTGGGGGCTCATCCGATTTGGTTGGGACATCGATTTGTTCCGCTTCCTTGCCCCTTTCCAGGCTGGCGGATCGCTTGGATCTCAGTGGCCTCTCAAGGCTGGAGCTGCGTTTGCCCTCCACCTTGCGTCCCGGCTCGAGCTCGGCCAGACGCAGGCTGGCACTCCTTCGCACTCCCTCCCCCGCCAGGGTCTGGGCCAAGGCTGCCTCCGCCTTGGCCGCTCTCTCCGCCGCCTCCATGTACTTCTGCATCAGCTCCGACTGCTGTTCCGCCTCCGAGGGTCGCGCCCTGTAGGAGTCTGTCTGGGATTCCCCCACTTCGACATATTCGTGCTTGCGACTGATCTCCGCCCGCTGCTCGGGGGTCTTGGAGCGCCGTTGAGGTCGCACCGGCGACAGGGAGTTGTTTCGACTGACGGTACGACGATCCTCCGGTTTTGGGAGGGCTGACGGTGGCGGAGGTGGAGCTCCTCGAATGGGGGCAGCCACGTAGCTCTGTGGCGGCTTTATGGGCCTTCGCGTGGGTATCTCCTCTACCGCATCCGCTTCGGAAGAGCTGAACTGCGTGGAGGATTCCTCATAGCCGCTGCTTCGGTTCCGACTGCGTACCTTTGGCGTCTCGTGCCGCTGCAGGCGCAGACTGTGGATGAGCCGGCGACGCTCTTCGTCGTCCTGTGGCAGCTGGATGCGATCGCTGAGCTTGCGGTAGTTTTGGAGCAGTCTCTTCCGTTCCTCGTTGTCCAGCTGCTGGCGATGGCGCTGCTTGTGCTCCCGCTTCTCTCGCTCGAAGAGCCTTTTCTCGGCCTCGAAGCGCCTGCGCTCGTCCTCGAACCGTTGCAAGTTCTGCTCAAGTCGGCTGAGCGTGTCGTTGTGGCCACCACTGGCGGGGCTCGGCTGCGGGATTGCTATGGGGGTGTAGGAGCTGCCCGTGGTCAGCTCGCTCTCGCTGGACTCCTCCTTGTGGCGGGGCGAGGACAGGCTGCGATGCTTGATAAGCTGCACGGCGTCCGGACTGCTCAGCTTTTCTGCCTCGCGGGGCTGCGATTGGCTTCTGCTCGCGGCACTGGCAAATGTCTTGTCCCTCCGACGCAGGATCTTGCTCTCGTGTGCGGACAGAGTGCCCGGCGGACGTATCTGCATGCGCACCATCTGCGGTGAGGGATCAGGATCAGGACCAGGACCATCATCCTCCCCCACCCCCACCCGCTGGTGCTGTGTAATGGGTGTCTGCTCGCGCTGGCTGCGTCCTAAGCGGCGACGGTGGCGCTGGTGCTGCCTGGCCTCGACAGATGCTGCGGCTGCCTGCGCCGAGTCCATATCCATGTCCAGTGTGCTACTTTCTCGTTCTATCTTTGGGTTAGCTCTGGCTCATGTCGTCTATTTATAACTGGTTCATATTTTCATTTTCCCCATCCAAAGCAAAACGAATTTCTCGATGTAATTATATCACTTTCGGGGTGCAATTTCTTTTTATAGTGCCTCAACGGATCGTTCGTGTACACTTGATCCGCGTAACGGAAATTGCTGCAACTGTAAATGAATTTGGAATTGCTCGATATCTTTTCTAGGTACATACATATATGTACATATAAGAATGTATCTACATATACGGATGATAGATGTTCTAGAATCGTCACTTTTCTCGTACACTGGCCGCAGAGACTCGACCACGTCTGGTATCGCACTGCTGAGAGCATGTGGAAGACTCAAAATCTTCAAATTGTTTATATATATTGTCTATATTTTTGGTTGGTTGCCACAACAGCTGTTTGGCTTTATGTGAATTGTGAATATATGAATTCCTGTCTCTCTAAATATTCTCTCTCTGAATATAAAAGTACAATTTTGTCCACTTATTCGCTCAGCGTCCGAATTTTGTGGATATATTTCGTAATAAGGTAAACTTTTGAAATTACTCTATATATTAAAATATAACTCCTTTAAAAGAAAACAGAACCAAATACCATAATCTAATGATATTAGACTGTCAAAGCAGGCAACTATAAAACCATTACAGTTTGTTGCTATGAAACTATTTGGCCTGGCTGTCATGAAAGTAATATACCAGTCTGCTATGGCAACAATAAAGGTGGTTGTCTGCTATACACTCTTCTGGTTGATATAAAACCTGTTGCGCGCACATCAACAATACATTTTCAAGTGGCGCCACTTAAGTTATTCCGTCCAACAGAGAGCGCATGGAAAAAAGTGACGTGCAACGAATTCAAATTAGAGACGTTACCAATAACAATTTAATTTCTTCGTTCATGAACAACTTTTAATACATTCAAGCAGTTTACATAACATATTTCACTAAATCAAAGCAATACATTTCCTTAATAAAAGAGAATGAAGGGATCCAGTAATGGCGGAAGGCCGTGCCCCACTCTCCGGGTGTATAGTAGCACACCCCGGGGGACATAATGTATCCGATTTATCTATGCGTTCAACTCATTCGATTTCTTCTGAATTCTCAGCGATTTGTTTAGAATGCCAAACTTTTGTTTTGCATGGGGGTTTCCTTCCGTTTTTCTTTCGTAAACTATAGTTTGCTGATTTTTCGTGGGGATCAAAACGAAAGTGTTACAAATATTGAGTAATATTTTCCATGAAATGCGAATTCATGTTCGATCAGTACCACTTGTGACGTCACTGTAGCCATATAGTAGCACATTTCGCCACTCGAAGGTATCGAAATAAAATGAATTTTCTGCTGATTCTGATTTTCATCAGATACTTACCAGAGAACGCCCCTCTCGCAACGCCCAACTGGTTGATGACGGATCGTATTCGCTTTTATGGAATTTCGCTGGGCACCAGTGTTTGTTTATTATTCGCAATTTCATTCAACATTTCTGCCTTCGTGGTTTGTTTTCCCAGTTGAGCATGCACCATAATCGAGATTCTGTTTGGCATTTGCCGGGCCCGAGTGGCAAAGTCCCACAAATCGGTATTTTAATCGGAGCAGCAACAGCTTTACGATTCCCAGACATACATATATATGTATATTCATTTTTATTCGAAATTATGAAGTGTGTCTGCCTGCTTATTGATTACTTCAGAGAAGGGGGTGTTTACATCCCCTGAAGATCGATCTGAGTGTAGTTTTCAGACATTTCCCATTCACGAAACGTCTTTCAGCATGAGATACATATATTTCATGCTGAGTCAGAGGTACCAGGTTGGGTAATACTCGTATGTACCTATGACATTCGTGTGCCTAAAAATACACAAATATTTCGAGCAGCGGTTCTCACGTGTGCCACGGGGCGTATGATAAAAATCTATACGACTTTACGACGATGAAGAGGACTTTCCACAGACAAGTTTTGTTTACATTTTGTGCCAATTTTAACAACTTGATTGCACTCGGAACACTCATAATATTCGCAATTTCGGTTCACTCCATCCCCTGTCATCGTTGAGGGGCGAAAATGACTGTGAATTTGTGTTAATTGCTTTTGCGGCAATGTGGGTGGAAAGTGTTTTCCACACTTGCAGATTTATTATTTGTCTCTTCTTTTGTTGGAAACTTGTCAAGAGCGGAACACAAACTGGCAGATTTATTCGCTAGAAATAAATATTTCGCCGAACGAGAAAGAAACAAGCCGGAAAACAGGAGGACAATAAAGTCGAGCCACGAAGCATGTCGATCGAATAAAAGGTGCCATTAAATCATTAACTAACCGCCACATGAATACATATTAAGCGTAATGCCCCCCGCCCCCCTTGGCGGAATATTTATTCGGAATATCTGCGCGGACAAAATACTTTAATTTTCTCGGTATATTTATGAGTAAAAGTGAAAATAAAATAAAATGTAATTAAGAGTGTGTAAGGAGACGGCGATTCGGGGAAATTCTTGTACAAGGTGCGGGCTATTTATAAGTCCCAATTAAGAACGATGACAATTTTCCAAAGAATTCCGCACCACCGCCGCCACGAGAGCCTCTCTAGAGAGATCTCATAACTGTCTGCGCCAGAAGAGACACAAATTTGTTATCTCACATCGCCAAAAAAACATTCGAAACTATTTCCATCTTTTGTGTCACAGATTTCTAGCGCTTAATGAAGAGGAATACATATACCCGCACATAAATAAATAGATTCTTTGCGTGGGCGTTTGTGCACCTACAATGCCCTTGTAGCCGCAAGTGCCCCACACCCCACACCCCCCTACCCCTACCACTCACCTATGGTCGTGTAGATGGTGCAGCTGTAGACCATCGCGTTCCAGAAGGACCAGGGATCCGTTTTCTCCGCCATTCCGTTCCGCAGGAGCGACTCGACAACGGACGGATGGTTGTTCATGATGCGCAGCACTTGGCTGTCAAAGTCAGTCTTGGACAGCTGAAAATAGCCAAGTTAACTCTATCTATCTTGTTGAGGGGGATATGAAGCATCTCTTACCGTGCTCAGCTGTGTATTCCTTGTCATGTCACGCATTTCCTCGAAGAACTGCTTCTGCAGTCCCTGCAATTCCAGTTTCTCGAGAGTTCCCTGCCGCACTGCAATAAACAGATTTGACAGAGCTTTAGACACAAGTTTAAGGCGGCCTTGACCCCTGCGGGAAGGCCGAATGAATGAACTTTGCCGTCGCAATCGCTGTGGTCGATTGCAAATTGGCAGCACTGCCAAAACAGCACTTTCAGCAGTAAATCAGAAGGATTTTCCACTCGAGATGGGAGTCCCGCCTGACTGGGAGTCAAAGGCATTCCAGAAAACAGAATGCGGAGCATAGCATGTTCCCCATTCGGTCACTGGTCGAAGGTGGGGGGCTCCTATTTGGGACTTCTCCATCCGCCTGTTAATCATCTTCAATTGGATGTCTGAGTTGTTTATACGATACGATACATCTCCCCTCTCTCCTGTGTGATTCACTCGGTTGTATGCAATCTAATTGATTGTTCCCTCACCTGCTTCAACGTCGAGCGCAGGTACAGATACTCGTACAGATACAATTTCGAGGCGTTGAGCAGGCCAATTTGATGGGGGCTTGTTTTATGATTACAGTACAGCGGAATCATTCAACATGTGTGCTGGTCTGGCAACTGTTTGCTGTTCTCCAAACAATTCAATTGCCAAGAGCTTGATAAGCAAACAAAGACGTTTAGTGCACTCTTACTTCCGGACCGGATCGGGATCGCGATGGGTTAACTGCAGGGGGACTCCTAATGGGATCAACCCGATGATGATGATGATGATGATGATGTTGATGCTGATGATGATATTCTCACCTTCGACTGCTTGGAAGATCAGGGCACCGCCCACGCTGTAGAGTGCGAGGACGAATATGAGGAACATGTGGGTGAACCAGCTCCTGGACCACCTGCTGAACTTGTTGTAGAGGCCGTAGGTGAACTTCTCGCCGAAACTCATGCCGGACTTGGTGAGATCGAGAAATCCTTCGTATCCCTTGGTCATGAAGTTGCCGGAGCCAAACGGATTCGCCACTGGCGGCCAGTACGGACCGTTGCCCGTGTAGTTTGACTGCGAGGTGTACGGCGGCTGGGCGGTGGGCGGCATAGATCCCACGGACATGCCCATTGCTGACCCGCTGTTCAGATTGTGGATATTTATCCGCGGTGGTCTGTGAGCCCTTCGCGACGCTGGCGGTGTGCTGGGTGTGGGGCTCTGTGTCTGAGACATTTTCCACAGATGGGTTCAAACTCTTCCTACTATTTATATGATTTATGATTTATGAATCCGTTGGTTTGGGTTTGGTTTTGCACTCTCAAATCATTCGACACTTTCTTCACATCATTTCACAGTTTCGGTCACTCTTGCTGATAGAATTATTCCATCTATATGTATTTATATATTTTGTATTATTTTTAAGATTATAAGTAGAATTGCCGTCGCGATTCTTGGGCGCCGCGCATTTATTTATTCTCTTTTTATTTTGAAGGCGGCTACCGCTTCCGTCCGACTGGTTCTTGAATTCAATGGGGACTGAAGCGAGCATTCGGCCAACATTAGTGTCGTGTTTGGGGCTGGCTACTGCCTGCTGCCTGCTGGCTGCTGCCGGCTGCCTACTGCCTGCTCTGGGGATATGTGTGTACGACAATGACGACATCGGGCCAGTCGTGAGCTCACTCGGAGAGGAGAGTCTTCTGGCCAGGGAAATCGCCGTCTTAGCTGCTCACTGATCTCCACATGGGGGCTGGGGGCAGACGATATTTTGCCCCGCGCTGATTGTATTATAATTGGGGCTGGAGATCCGACTGAGCCACCATCGGGCTGGAAGCTGCTGCAAGTAAGTAACGTGCTTGCCATTGTTAAATGCGTAGTTCAAGCGCCACTTAGTCGGATACAGACGTACACATGTACCTACATAAGTATAAAATAAGATCCATATACTAGTGTTATTTATACAAATGTTTTCTCATTCGCATTTGCTTGGCTTGACACTAATGAATTTAACATTTTTCCCCCCATAATTTATCATCTTCGAGACTTTTTCTCGCGCTTTTTGTTTTTTGTTTTGTTTCCCAAAAAATTTGCATAAATTTAAGCCACCAACTGTGTTCCGTAGACGAATGGACCCATGGAAGGGTTACTCACATGTTCGTTTGCGTTTTCGGAGAATTCTTTGTAATACTTAAATTTGGCCGCTGTCATTTGGCCAACAGTTTTCTGAGAAATGGAAACACTCGAGAAGTGGTAAGATTCAAAATTAAAAATTAAGCGAATGAGAAAGTGATCTAATTTGCAGGCCAAGCAAATGTATAAAAAGCCAGTAATTCGGTATTTTTATTGGGATCAATCATCATAGAAAACATTTGAAATGCCAAGACAAATAATATTTTAATTTTTTTCTCTCTTCTGGCAATTTGTTTGCTTTTATTCTGCACATATCTGTTGTTTCTTTGCAAATGAATAATTGGGCAGTTTATCAAGAGCAGCTGTTCCCTCTGCTTGCGAAATAAGCCTCGTGGTGTTGGATATATCTACATAGGTATCTGGAAACTGGGAGTTTACTTTGAGATATGTCTAGACAAAGAGTGGTAGTGGTAATAGTATCGATTGCTCAGTCAATGACCAGGACCAACGTGGAGCTACTCAGCTTTTTCAGTAGTTCATGACAAGTCAGTTGGATGGCATCGATGCAAGACTGTGTCACATTGAAGACCTATTCTCGGTCCTAAGTGAAAGGTAATTCCAGACTATTTCAGCTCTAGAACACAAAGATCTCTACTAGCTCATGGACCCCTTGATGGAGCTAATACACTTCATAAGCTGGTGCTGCAACTCCTCCGACCCTATATTGGCATGGATCAATTGTGGGGCATGGTAAAACCAATGTCACTACACTCAGCAACGATCAGGAAGGCCGGGAACTCGTCCAGCTCTATCTTACAACATTCTGCGGCAGCCTCGCGATTAATCACGGCAGAGGACGAGCGAGCATGCAAATCATCTGCATGGTGCTGCTGTGTTACATCCCAGCCATAAAGAAGTGCTCATTGAATATCTGCTGGATTTTTTCGTCTTTCATCACTTGGCTGCAAAAAATATTGCACATAATACTGGTACCCATTGTACATGAATATGGGCGGCACCTTCCTCTGAAAAAGAACCAATAAGATCTTATTCAATAGTTCTTTAATTCAAAGATACGGAATTCAAACCTCTTTAAATGGCTTCACGAAGATCTCATTCAGGGCATTCTCCATTTCGCCCACATAAAAATTGGGATAGGGTTCGCCAAACTTTAGTTTGTAGTTCGATATGAACTGAACGATCCCATCCATCTCATTGTGAGGATAATCGTCTATTAGACTCCTGCGCCGAAAGGAAGAGTCCTCGGGTACATCACTCAAAAAGTCACATTGAACGGAGGTTATTTGCTTGTCAGACTCCATGGGTGTTTCCGTCTTGGAACAGTTTAACAATCAATGCAATAGAATCAGAGGCCTATTCTGTTCGGGGATTTGAAGGATAAGAAGATCTTATGTAAGATCCAACTATTCTCGACATACTTGATCTGAGTATGCACTTAAAACCGCATTCCTCTTACATTAAATGTGTCCGAGAGCCAGATGTTCAAAGAGCCAAACGAGGCAGACGGCTTGAACTTGTTTGCTATAAGATTTCATCCCTAAGAATTTATCATACCATGGATGCACTAATTTCTTACAGAATATTGACCTTCAGAAACTAAGGTATTACACTTTAACAGAACTATGGATACCAGGCAATCAAAACTGTTGATAGGTTGTTTATTCCATTCATTCACTTTCAAACAATTTGCTTTTGGGCGCTCAAGTTTGGTGGGACCTAATCCACAATGTCCTTTTTCAGCTCAACAATGTCCCTACTCCCTTACGTTTCTTAGGAGTACTAAAGTACCCAATCTTGTAGAAACTTTATTCATCAATGGTCAAGAATTATGTGGGCAGAGCTAAAGTTTTAGTTAGTCAGCATTATTCAAGAGAATATCTAAATTGAGCAATTGGAACAATTTTTCTCTTGCGTTTTATTAGGTTTGAAACTTTTGTTTAGACAAGAGGAAATTAAAGAAAGTATTTAAAATTAGCCAATAAAATAGAAAATTGATTCATTAATCGGATAAAATTATGTGGGCAGGGCTGGGGGTAATATTCTAGCTAGTAATCTTCAACGGAAGATCAAAATCGAGGAATATGTATTATAGAACTTTAATTCGTCAGTATATTTACGGTATATTTTGAAAATGAGACGGTATATGTTGGTATAGTTCTGAGGGTAAGACCGCATCTGATTTTCTTGCCACCACGTCTAGCTCACACACCTCGCAATTTTTATACTTTTCATAGTATTTTCTAGTATTTTTTTAAGTATATTTTGACCGACCGCCTGAAATGATAAAATAAACTCAATAAATACAATTTAACTGAACAAAAATGGAGGAAAATGAATCCCCGACAGACTCTAGGGTCTCCACAGTGGCGGCAAATGGTGAGGCAGCCGACAAATTATGGTCGGCCCGGAAATAACCGTAATAATCAATGAATCTTGTGTTTCAGGTGACGATGATGACGCCACAAACCAGCATACATCAATTGAACAGACTGAGATCCGTAAGATGCAGAACGAGTTTAATACGCAGCGGGCAAAGATGCGGGAGCTGTACATGCAGAAGGAGGCCGAACATGCCCAGAGCATGGCCGAGCGCAAGAAGCTGCAAGATGAGTTGGACGAGCTCAAGACGCACCTGATGGTGGCGGATCTAAAGTCCGAGAACGAGATGCAGCTGAAGGACATCAAGGCTCAGGAGGAGATATCGTCGCTGCAGCAGTTGGTGCAGGACACAATCGAAGAGTCGTCAAACTATAAAAGTGAGCTGGAGCGCATTAAACTGGAGCTTAATAAATACCAACAGCAACAGCAGCAGCTCCAGCAGATACAAGTGCAGGTCCAACAGCCCCAGGCTGAGTCATCTGGTGGCTTGGCCCCGCAAATGCTGAATCAGGTTAAGAGGACGCTGGGGTCTGTGCGAAAACTGGGAAGCGATTCGCTAAACAGCAGCTTTCAGCAAGAGGACGACAGTCTTCGAGGGTCGAGCAACAAGGGAAACGGGAAACAATATGTAAGTCCGCCCAAACAGCAGCCAATATCGCTGATCAATGTCTCTTTTGCAGGCATCAGAAGATGCGGAAATGCTGCATTCCATAGTCGAACAACTGCAGGAGGAGATGAAGGCCTTGAAAGAGAAGTTGCGGGAGCAAGATGGCCAACTGCACTCCAAGTCAATCGCAAAGGCGGCCGTTGTCACCGATATGTCTGCCATACACAAGTCGACATCCATGGATGTGGCAGAGTCAAGCTGCGAGGCCTGTAGTGTGGCACAGAAGACAGCTGAGGACCTAACTGCAAACATTAAAAAGCAGCAAAAGCAGGTGGATCTGCTACAGAAACAGCTTGTGGAGGCCCGTGAGACGTTGGGTAGAGAAGCAGCGCTTCGCAAAGATCTGGAGGATCAGTGGCAGGAGAAACGCGAGGCACACAAGAGTGAAGTACAAAACCTGCGCGAGAAATCCACGGCCAACGAGCAGCACCTGCTGGACATGCAACAAAAGTTTCTCGACACCAAGGATGCGGTGATGAGGCAGCTGCAGCGCATCACCGACGATCGGGAGCGTGTCAACAAGCAACTGGAGACCCTGCAGGCCGACAACGACTTTCTATCCGGTCGCTACCTGGCCACGTCCGAAGAGATCGAGAACCAGTACATAAATCTGCCCAACACAGTCGTCGAACTTCAGGAGCTCATGCTGCGCCAGCAGAGCGAGCTGATTCAGGCCCGCGTCAGCAGCGAATATGAGAAGCAGAGATGTGTCAGCACTTTAGACGAGATTCAAATCCTACGCGCCCAGCTGGAGGAGAGCAACAACGAGCGACGGACCTACAAGCGGCAAACGCAATTAGATATCAAGTCCCTGCAGTAAGTTTTTTCGGCACACTCAAGTGCGCTGCAAATGGTTACATATACGAAATCACATTCGCAGGGATCGTCTGACAGAACACTTGCTGACGGTGCAATCGTACGAGACGACCAAAACACAATTGGAGCGCAAAGAGGCTGAGCTTAACAAGCAATTGTCCGAGAGTCGGGTGGAGATCATTGAGCTGCAGGAAGCCAATGTAAGTAAAGAGCTTTCATATCCACACAAATACCTCAATCCCATTTCTCCTCATTTACAGGAAAAACAAAACAAAACCAATGCGGACTACAAAACAAAGATAAAGACTCTGCAGGAGGAGCTGTCTACCATGGAGACGGTGCAAAAAGATTTTGTGAAATTATCTCAAACCCTTCAAGTGAGTTTCCATATAAAAACATACGTTTATTGACTTAAAAAATATAATTTTCAATAGATATCGTTGGAGGAGCTGCGGCATGCCGATACGGAGGTGCGCTGGCAGGACGACGAAGATGTGAACAACTGCCCCACGTGCCACGCAGGCTTTACGGTGATGGTGCGGAAGATCCACTGCCGGCATTGCGGCCACATATACTGCGATAAATGTCTAACGAAAACGGTGCCATCGGGACCACGCAAACGGGTAGCCCGAGTCTGTGATATCTGTCACACATTGCTCACGCCAAACACCGCTCCCTACTTCAGTCAGGGACAGCCGCCGCAGCAGCATCACAACCAGAATCCGAACCACAGTCAGGGCCAGCAGCAGCAGTCCAACTAGGCGAGCAGGGGAAGGCTGGGTTCAAAGCCTATATTTATTGTGTATTATTTACGATTATGTGTGAACTAATTTAGTTTTTTCGATTACTATTTAGTTGGTATATACTTCTGGACCTTATTGCTCTTTGTTTGTGCTCCGATATTATGTTACCATTATGATTACGATTACGATTCTAGGTGCAACCTTTCCAAGTCATATCCGCTTTCTGTTTGTTCGTCGATGCCAGATAGATGTAATCCTTTGTGCTCCACATTAGCTTTTCATTATTGAATTGAATTTAACTCAAAGCAAATATACAAAATAAAATCAAAATACGTTTGCTCCTCGATTACTTAAACCAACCTTTCCTGCAATAGATTTAGATATAGATTATAGTAAATGCGAGTAGAATGGTGCCATGCAACAGATATACGAATAGTTATTTGTGTTGTGTTCTTGTTTATTCAAAGAATCCAAGCAAAAATTCCCAATTTGTTAACATTTTTTGTATTTTGTGTGTCTTCATTTGGTTTCAAGGAGCTAGGATTGGTTTTGGGTATGTATATTCACTAAATATTTATAATTAATAACAATTTAGGGCATGCCCATATAAATTCCGTATGTACAAACAACTCTCACTTCTACTAACAAATAGTGACAAAATCTAATACTGCAATCTCCGCGCATTCCGACGACGGCACAGACGACAAACCACAATTACGGAGACAAACACACACAGTACGGGTACGGAGGAATCACATTTTCGTTGGGGAAGCAATTACGAGTTTGTTTTTGGCACATAGTAATATGTCTCTGAAAGTAGAATGGAAATTGGATTGCAATTAGCCCGTCAGTAGATAAAAAGTACGTCCACGTTTCAATACCCACCTCACCATAGAACACGACCTGCTATCAGAGCCACTATGGTTACAGCTGCCACGCCCACAACACTGAATAGGCGAGAGGTGGCTAAAGTGAAAGAGGGAAATACAATCCTTCCATTAGTCGTGGTATATATAGCGAGTGTTAGATTTGTAGGCACAGGGGATACTGCTAGAGTCCGAATTTTGTTGTCTTGGTTTTTAGTGAATTTCGATTAGCAGCTACCCTTGAAAGCCATTCATTCGCATGCAGGGATTTGAGTATGTGATTAGATAATACGAGCACTATGCGAGTATGTACAGAAAATTGACAGACAACTGAGAAGAACAGATTTGCAAGACGGTATACAAATATAGAGTGTGCGTGGATTCTTCAGTTATAGTATGAGAGATTATCCTGGCAGTGGTGCCTCATCTGGTAGTGGTAGTGGTAGTGGTACTGGGATGCTCTGGGGTTAGACAAACATGCCTCGACATTCACCAAACACACATCAAACAACAATAAAGAGAAATGCAACCCAATTGTGGACACTTACGCTGAAATCTGGAACTTGAGGCGGCTTGGAGGACAATCTATAGTACATTCACTTTGATTTGATTTGAATTTTGACAAAAAACACGAATGCGTAGACGTGGACGTAGATGGCATATGGTTTAACAGACACTTTTTGGGCGATCGTATTCCTTCTTCCTGCTGTGTTGGTTGGTGCTTTGACTGTGTTGCTGTGTCGTTTGTCGATTACTCTTGTCGTTTGTTCGCGATGTAGTAGGTATAGTTACAGAGATATAGCGAGATAGCGGGATAGATAGGTGTGTAGATAGAGAGCCTTTTCTTAGCCTAGAGATGAGCAACATTTATGGATGGATGCTTATACAAATATATCAATTTGATTTAAGGAGACGATTGGTGATTGAATTGATTTGATTGATGTGTGATGTATAGCATTTTGGGGATCTTCATTCTACTGCGGCTCTTCACCTGCTCCACCGCCGACATAGCCCTCCGAGAGTTCGCGTCCGTGCTTGCTCAACCACTCAATGATCACGCCATTGGACCAGCCGAATCCTGTCTGAACGCCGTATTCACCGCCACCGCCATGGCCGCCAAACTCCTCAGCATTGTACTGCAGAAAACAAGAAGATGCTTGGGATTTTTGGAGTATCACACAATATGCATGGAAATCACTTACCTTCTCGTACATGTGGAAGCTGTCGGTGTAGGCCTTGAAGTTCGACTTGACCCAGCGAAGGGCCCACTTCTTGGAGAGCTCCTTGGCCGCGGGTGTGTTCAGATTGGCCAGTCCCTCGACCACGATATACTGCATGGGCGCCCACACATTGGGGAAGTCCCACTGCTCGCCGGTGTGGTAGAGCGTGTTGGGCACTCCGCCCGGGAATGTGTCCAGTTTGTTCTTCTCAATATAGCTCAGCACCGAGGCCGAGATCTTCTCCGTATCGGAGATGTTGTACGCCTTCACAAACAGAGGCGCTAGATTGCTGGGCACGAAGTAGTCGCGTGGCTTCTCATTGATCATATCGTAGTCCAACCAGCAGCCTGCCTCCTCGTTCCACAGAACATCCTGGATGCCCTGCAGGAGTGTCTGGGCCTTCTTCTCGTATTCGGTCATCTTGTCCACGTTGCCGGCCTTTGCGTGGAACTCGGCTATCAGCTTGGCGTTCCAGTATAGGATGGCATTCAGGTCCACGGGTACAATGGAGCGTGTCCGCAGGTGGCTGAGATTACCGACATTGGTGCCATTCTCATTGATGAACCAACGGGAGCTGAAGTCCATGCCAGACTCGGCGGCGGACTTGAGCTCGCTGTAGTGATCCTCCTTGGCCTCGGGCGTGTCGAAATTCTCTGCGGTCTCCACATCCTCGCGGTAGGACTCGGGCCGCGGACCGGTCGACGAGTCGCGGTAGACGGCCAGATTGTGACCCTTGACCTGGACCGAGTGATTGTTCACAAAGTACTCGAACTCGTGCTCAAGCACCTCCAGGGCGTTGATGGCGAACAGATCGTCCTTGGTGAAGTCCACGTACGACTTGACCATGCCGGTCAGCAGCGGGGGCTGGGAGCGGCCCCAGTAGTAGACTCGTCCGCCATTCGGAATGAAGCCGATCCTCTGCACAATGGACATGAAGTTCTCGATCATGCCACGGGCCGTGTCTTGCATCTCGCTGTGCAGCAGTCCGCGGATGATCCAGTACGAGTCCCAGTAATAGAATTCTATGAAGCGGCCTCCCGGAATGATCACTGGATTCGGCACTGGGATGATCGAGTAGTACTCGGGATTCTTCATCACATCTTCGTTCATCTTGCGTCCCAGATCCTTCCAGATATTGTTCAGCTCCTGGCCCCATTGCTTCAGGTCTGGATCACTGATCAGATCAAGAAAAGCGGGATTCGCCTTCCAGTCTGTCGGTGTCCAAATTTCCAGCTCCGTGCCCTTCGGGCTGAAGTAATCCTGAAAAATATAACACAATCTTCACTGTGCCTGTGCCTGCCATCACTCGAGATTGGAGTGGTATCCGTTCCCAACTTACATCCACAAACTTCTGCAGATCCTCGCGGCTGGGCGTCCGGTTCTTGGCCTCCATCAACAACTCAAAGTCCGCGAGGGTCTTGGCCGGCGTCTGCTTGAGTTTCATGTCCACAAATGTCTTTGAGTCCTCAAACAGCTTGGCCATTTGAATGGTATTCAAAAGGTCGCCATAGCAGTAGATTTCACTAGAAAAAGAGGCATTTATATTGTATGATTTGCGAGCTCTACAAATAAAGAACAGATGTGTTTCTCTTCTAGCAAATAATATTATTTGGCCCAGACCTTCGTAACAATAGCATTAGAGGAATTTGGCTTGAGTTCATATTAATTGAATGAACGATATATTTTAAATATAGCCTTCCTTTATTGTGTTGAGTAGCTGTGTAGTAGCGGCAATGGCTACCATTAATTAGTGACGTCATTAATTAGTGCAAATAATTTACAAATTAAACTGCCACAAAAACAACTAGAGTCCATCCAGGTGGCTGTCGTTTTCTGGTTAAGTGAACAGTGAACAGTGGAACACCTGTCTAAAATATCATTGTCGAGATCGTATCGTGTAGTATATCTCTCCAGATCTGTTAAAGTTAATGCCCGAGCACGAGTCTGTGGCTAACACGACGTCACGTTTAAGTGTCTGTCTGTCCGTCTGGCTGTCTCAAGGGAAAGGAAACCACTCAAGCAATGGGAAAGATCATGTAATGTAATGTATTGTAATGCTTTGCATACGTTATTCGTAAGCAAAGATTAAAGATCACAGAGAGAGAGTCCGGAAACTTACCAACTTTCAAAATTATACGATTCCACATCCTTGGGAATGGCATTGGCATTGTCAATGCGATAGTCGATGAAGGATTTCGCCTGGGACAGAGCCCCAAGGCAACTGCATATCAGCAGGAGCAGCTGGATGGCCACTAACCTGGTCATATCGACACTACTCTTTTCAACTCTTTTCACTTGGGTTCTCTAATTGTAGGATATTGTAGTGGGATCTAAATGGTGTTGTATAAGTACAGAGTGCTGCAGTTCGCTGGCTGATATATTCAAGAGAACTTCACTTCAGGGAATATAATATATGGTATATATGTATATACATATATTGTATCCCTAAATTCGACCTGCCACACGCGAAGCACGAGCACAACCAGCGCCAGTCAGCGCAAGAATACTTCTAACTGTTTCCCCCGTTTCCAATTTTATAAAAAAAACGACGACCTACAACGATCTACGACGACGACGGGCGATCGATCCACGAACGACTCACGAACGATCGTTGGAGCAAGGTGGGAAACTGGAGGAACGGAACCACCGCTCGTGCCGCTTTGGGGGCGCGTTCAATCTATTTATAAAATCGTTAAAGTGGCCCCAAGCCGAAGCCGAAGCAGAAGTAGAAGTAGAAACCGAAAGCGAGTACCGTATTCAAATCGAGTGTATCATGTAATGCAGACCTAACCTATCTGTGTATCTGTCAGATTCATTTGCTGTCGCCTGTTTGCTGCACCGATATTGTTTAATCTTTAGCTTTTCCTTCAATTAAAAGGGTTTTTGGCACACTCAAATATTTTGCATACTACAGATAGCTGACGAATGAATGATTGAATGAATATTCATGAGAGTAACGGCAGAGCCTTGAAATACATATCCATATCCATAAATACAATTCCTACAAAGTGGTGCCCTGCCCTGCCCGCATCAATTGATGGATTATGGAGCATAGAACAGAATAGAATGGATTATATATTTTGTATGGTTTAGTTTTAGGACGTTCCACTGTAGTGTCGAGGCTTTACAGATAAGGGACGTCTTTCTTTTCTTTGTTTTTTTGGCACTTTTAGGCCTAGTTAAAATGCTAATTAAAACCCATTAAAGTCACTTCAATTGTTCCACTTTTAAAGATAAAGCTGCAACGTTCTCAGCAGCGTTTATCAGGAATCCAGAACGAGCTATAAAAATGGAAATTTCTTGACAGATTTTCCATATTATTCAGAGCTACCTTGCTCCCGATATGAAGATACAATTAAGGGAATAACCCGCCGATTCTACTCCACTTTTGCTCCAGTATTTACTAATTCACTAATAATATCTTAGTATGCACATATGTATGTTCAGCTCTATAAATAGTATGGGATCGGGCGATCGGGCAGCCGACACGACACGTGTCTGGCCACACAAATATAGCAATGAAACGGAATTGCGACGTTTCGCTGGAACCTGATGACGTCTCTCTTTCTTTGTGGGTGGTTTGTGGTGGTGGCTGTACCACTAACAAGTCTTAATTGAACTGATTTGCTGAATAAGGATTGCATTTGTGACATATGTATAGCATATGGATTTATGTGTACTCTCGTTAACGAAAATCAAGATCAAAATCTCTAAACTGCGTTGCAAACGTTGCAAATCTAAAGATTCATATAACAAAGAAAAAGGCTATACTCGGCAGCAGATTGGGATCTGGGTTTGAAGATTCACCCAAACTACAGATATTCTGAACGAAAACGTTCTTCTACGATATTTTCCTGATCAATAACCGGAAAATTGAACAACATTTTAAAGTGATTTATTGCATATTCGGAGACTGAACTCGACACCAACAAAATCACATCTCGTTGGGTTAGGCAGCATTATGATGGATCGCATTACGATGATATAAGAGGCCCCCGGCCCCCCCTGCGGAGTCTATGGGCATCTCTGGGGGATGCGGAGAACAGAAAACAAAAGGCAGGCAAATGGAAAACTAAAAATGCCAGCAAACGGCACAATTGTGCTTTATGGGAGAGAGAAACAGATCCCCGAACAGAAACCATTGTTTCGCTACGTTTCTGTGACGACAGCGCACCAGCGGACCGGCGGACCGGCAGACCGGCGGACCAGCGGGAACAGCAAACAATTGCATCTGAATCAATGATGTTGCACGTCACACGGGCACAGGTGGCACTGGCCATTAGCAGTCAAACCTATTCGAATCGCAGTTAGTTTGAGTGCAGATTGTAGTCACAGTAGCGTTACAGCCAATGAATCACAAGCAAAACGGAAGCAGATATGGGGCTACCAAACGTTGAAGAACAAACTAGTATTAGTTCTCAGTTCCGAACAGACTTGATCAATATTTGAACGGGTGTAATGGCCTTTTTTCAATCGATAACTAAGGCTCCGAACCGCACCTGCTGGATGACAAATGGAAACAAAACCCCAACTCTTCTACATACATATGTATTTATGTACGTGATAGGCGTTTACAAATATTGTTAAATTCCATTTTTTGAAAAGGGAGCTTCCGATTCCGCATAGCACAAAAAAGAATTTTGTTTAACGATTCCGGATTGGCATTCTATATAAATCATACGAAATGCAACAAGAGACTCGACTCCCACAGATAATTATCGTAAAACTATTATTTTTGAGGGGTTTTTTAAGTGCGTGCATAAAATAATGAGATATTTCTTGAATGGAATCGGGTTCGGATTCGGATTCGGATTCCCTCACTCCCACCATTCATCTGGTTTTTTATTATGTTTACTATGGTCATTATACATCTTTTACGATTGTCGTCATCGGGCTAGCAAGTGCTAAATGAAAATGACGTCCCGTTCCCAAAAAGCCACCTGTTCCGATTGAGAAACGAGCTGCCAATTCTCGTTCAAGGACAATCATTAATCATTATGTGGGCCATGCCATTCACAATTGTATGTTTTATTTGACTAATCATTATAATAACTACAATATACCTCAGTTCAGTTCAGTCTCGTTCATTCAATATGATTTGTTTAGGCGCACAAAAGACACGAAAACTGGAAAAGTAATTAAGAAGCCCCGTGCATCAGGTGGAATTAACTTGTTTTTGCCAGTATTTTTTGGTGCTCCCGAAACCTTCGAGAGGTCATTGATGTGCCGCCAAATCGCCAAAAATTTGCCAAGAATTTTACACAAGAAACGCCTTGAAAGAGTGTTTTGCAGAGAGTTGATTCTGTTGGGAACTCACAGTCCCAACAACTAAATGTAGTGGCCTGGCCACTCAACTCGAGTGTCCCGAGTGGATGATAAGCCGATAGGCCTTTATCGTCTTAATCTCCGATTTGCGATTGTCCGGACGTCATTGACGAAAGTTTGTCAAGGTAACTTTTAGATCTTGAATTCAATAATTTGCCAAAGGTGAAGTGGTGGAATTATTGGAATTTCCAGGGCAAGACCCTCACGCTCTTCAGGTTGATAGGAATTCCATTTCCACAATTGCCAATTAGAATTACTAACTCAAGTTCGGGGGCAACTGATAAACGATTAAGAAAAACTGCCTATCGATGGAGGAGTTGGGGAGGGGAATAAACGTGTTTCGGAAATCAGGAGGAGAGGCAGCAGCAGCAAGTACTCCGTACTCTTTCCAGTCTGTCTGGATTTGCGCGACACTTTTCGGTTCATAATGAGTCTACAAAGAGTCTTCATTAACATACACTCGGATCGTTTAAGTCTCCGAAAAGGTGGGGATCATTGGATCATTGACATTTAGTACTAAACAAAATACAACACGAGTAGCCGTTTGGAAACGAGATCTAAGCAGAGTGTTGGGGGAAAACAGTAGTAGTATCAGCGAGGCGAATAGGTGGAAAAACTGTCAGCGAACTGTTGCAGGGGAAGAACAGAGGAGCAGCAACCACAACACAACAAATTGTATGGAAAATTATACGATAATTGCTGCCACTGCTCCGCCTGAGAGTTTAACTCAATTACGAAATTAAGTTTCAATTCAAAAACGAGGGGGAACGTTGTGAGTTGCTGCGGACACCGCAACTCTACAGTTATACCCGATACTAAGTCAGTATGGCTTTCCTCCGGCAGACGCCGCTAATATTAAACGATACGACAAAGAGTGCGTGCGAGAGAGACAGAAAATCAGTCTGAGCGTGATGTCACGCGCTGCGTAGCCACTGCAAATTGATTTGTTCCTTTTGGCTACAAAAATTATCTGATCTGATCCAGATTCAGCAATCTGATAGATATGGTCGTTATCTATGATTCTCCGTTTTTAGTTTTCTCGAATCTGCAATATTGTGGATGCAACAGATTTTCGTCCTTTGTGTGGGCGGAAGGGGGTGGGGCGAAATTTTGAGATACACGTTTTATAGTGAGATCTAAGAGAAGTGCGGATTCCAAACTTGGTTACTCTAGCGTTAATAGTCTTTGAGATTTGTGAATATCCCCAGATTTGCATCCTTTGAGGGGGCGGAAGGGGGTGTGGCGAAATTTTGAAACAAACTCGTCTCGGTCTGATATATTAGGAGTGTGGATACCAAATTTGGTTGCTCTAGCTTTTATAGTCTCTGAGATCTAGGCGCTAATGTTTTACTCTAAGCAAAGCCGCCTATGCTACCTGTGTGTTAGAGAGAGACAGGGCGAGAAAAAATGAAATTGTTTTCTTGATGCTGGCTATAATAGTAATACGATCCAATTCAGATTCTGCAGTCTAAAAGATATGGTCATTCTCTACGATTCTGCGTTTTTTGTTTTCTCGTATCTTTAAAATTGTGGATGCCACAGATTTTCGCCCTTTGTGGGGGCGGAAGTGGGCGGGGCAAAGTTTTGAAATATTTTTGTAGCAGTGACATATCACAGAAGTCTGGATCCAAAACATCGTTGCTCTAGCTCTTATAGTCTTTGAGCATTAGGCGCTGAAGGGGACGGACAGACGGACAGACGGACAGACGGACAGACGGACAGACGGACGGACGGACAGACGGACAGACGGACAGACGGACAGACAGACATGGCTCAATCGACTCGGCTATTGATGCTGATCAAGAATATATATACTTTATGGGGTCGGAAACGATTCCTTCTGGACGTTACACACATCCACTTTTACCACAAATCTAATATACCCCAATACTCATTTTGAGTATCGGGTATAAAAAGTAACAATTATTTATATTATTCTTTGGTTTGGAATGAGTTTTCACTTTGTTCGCGCATATCACACACTTTTGTTATTGGCAGTCCGCCCCGATGTGTGCGAGTTTTTATAACTCTCACATTATCTCGGTTTTGCGGCACTTGATTATTATTATACTACATGTATTATATACTATATGTG